TTGTTATGCTGAATGTTTTTCTGACTTTTCAAAGACTGTACAGACTATATGTGATTTTTCTCTCTTAACTAAGGCAGCTCCACACCCCCACCAACCTCCTGCTGCTCTCTCTGGCTGTCTCAGATTTCCTCGTGGGACTCAACATATCTTTTTCACTGGTCTTCTCAACCGGCTGCTGGTATCTGGGTGACCACATCTGTGTGCTGTACAGTGTGTTAGACTGCACACTGATCACTGTCCCAGTGGGAACCATGGTGCTCATTTCCATCGATCGCTATGTGGCCATCTGTAACCCTCTGCATTATCATTATAAAATCACTGTGAGGAGAGTTTTAGCTGTTAATGTACTCTGTTGGGTCTTCTCTGTGCTGTATATCAGTGTGGTGTTTAGAGACGTATTAAGTCAGCCCGGCAGGTTTAAAACCTGCCAGGGCGAGTGTGTAATAGCTTTTGATAATAATGAGGCAATCATAGACTTTTTCCTGATCTTTGTGGGCCCTGTATCTGTGGTGATAGTTCTGTATCTCAGGGTGTTTGTGGTGGCGGTGTCCCAGGCTCGGGCCATGAGGGGTCAGATTAGGGTCGTAACTTTGAAGCCCTCAGAGGCCGTGCACGCCAGGAAATCTGAGCTGAAAGCTGCCGGGATCCTAGGAGTGGTTGTTGTCGCTTTTCTGTCGTGTTACTTCCCATATTACTGCTCCTCCTTTGTAGGGGATGGTTTTGAGTTCAGTTCAACAGCAGGGCTTTTGCAGACCTGGCTACCGTACTTTAACTCCTGTCTGAACCCACTCATCTATGCCTTTTGCTATCCCTGGTTCAGGAAGTCTGTTAAGCTCCTACTGACACTAAAGATTCTTCGCCGTGGCTCCTCTAGGCTGAACGTACTGTAGAGACACTGCTCAGGCTCTGACATGAAGCATCTGAGTGAAGAGGCTGGACATCATCCAGACAGTCTGAGCAAATGTAGATTTATCTTTAACCATCCATCCATAATCGTTACCACTTATTCCCTAATGGGGTCGCGGGGAGAACTGGAGCCTATCGCAGTGGTCAATGGGCGAGAGGCAGGTTCACCCTGGACAGTCCGCCAGTCACACACAAGACATACAAGGACAAACAACCATAAACACTCACATTCACTCCTAAGGGCAATTTGGAATGTCAAATCAACCTAACATGCAGGTTTTTGGACTGTGGGATGAAGCCGAGGACCCAGAGAGAACCCACGCAGACACAGGGAGAACATGCAGACTCTACCCAGAAAGGCCCCTGGACTCACGCCCAGAACCTTTTTGCTGTGAGGCCACGGTGCAAACCACCACACCGCCATGCCACCCTTGGATTTATCTCTGTGAGTGTAAAGAAAGGCCCAAAACGAGAATCTCTAGATTACATAAACTCTACTCTTTTTAGAGGTGGACTTTTTTTTTGTGGACTGAACACAGCTTTACATTTTCGCCCTAAATAAGTCTAACATGGCAATTTGTTCACAGACAGACAGAAGCCAGCTGCTGTAAATTAATTCTGCCACCAGATGTCCCCGTTCATCCTTACTGTGAAGCCCAAAGCTTCAAGTCCTTTTCCGAACAAAAAAAACCCTTTAAAGGGTTATTTCTGAACTGATAACTTCCAAAAACAGAAGTCAGAATAGACCCAGCTGTCTGTTATTTAGAGGATTTAGATAGAACCCGTGTTTTAAACATTTACAAGAACTGCAGAATTCGAAAATAATACTTATGAATGTGAATGACAGGAAATTAACCTGATATTCACAATGAAATTCTCTCCTTTCTTAGAAAATAAGACATAGTACAAAACATCCTAAATGTATGAATATACATTTATACGTATATGTATAGATATCCATTCATGTGAATTTGTTTGTGTTCATTTTCAGTGAATAAATCAACATATTAAAGCAGTCGCTTTTGCAGTTTTTTTCTAAGAAATACTTAAAACTACCACAAAACACGTGTTTCTATAAATGGGAAATTTTCATGAAGTTCAAGACGGATGCACACTATTCTTTTTTTGGATGTATGTTTGTCAACAACATGGCATTTAGCTTTTAGATATTCTGTCTTTTTGGCTCATTTACCCATTAGCTTTATATTCAAAAGCCAACGACAATGTGATAGACCTGAATTTTAAAAGTATCTTATCTAAAAAAACGTTTTCCTGCTGAAGACTGGTCAATCATTACACATTATGGCGCCTAAATTCAAATGGACCAATCAGTGCAGTGCATCAGGCAACACACACACACTGTTGCCAACATATACTTTGTTGCTATACTTAGCCAGATGTCCGACCCCTCTAGTGACCAATTTTCAAAAAAGTGACTAGCGAAAATTCTCAGGGATCCTTTAAAGATAACCTGGAGAGTAGAAGAAGAATGTGTTTATTCCTGTTTATTACTGTGTGTTTCTAAAAGGTGCCTGCATGTGTGTGTTTGAATGACACACACAACACAGCAGTCATCAGTCGTCATGGAGACGGCCCCAGCTGAGGCCTCTGAGATGCACCTGTGCTCAAAGCTGGTTCAACAGGCAACCAGCTTTGAGCTTGAAAGACAGAAACCATAAGCACAAGACAGCACTGAGGAAGCAGAAGAAGCCAAAGAAAAGCTTAAAAATTCATAGTCTAAAATGTTAAAGGCTGAAGTTAGGAATAATTTTGAAGAGCTGATAACTAATGAGTGGAAGAAATCAGTTTAAAGGATTAGAAGAAGAGTATTGAGTAAAAAGCCATAAAATTACCAAGAAAGTACAAGAAGTTAGATGAAGTTTCAAATCAGGCTAAACAGGACAGTATGAAGAAGGTCAAAGGTCAGGAACTTCTGTATTTGAGGAGACAGCTCAAGAGCATTTGAAGACGAAAGTGTTCTATTGACAAATTTCAAAGGTCAAACAAATCAGATGAACAATTTTTAAAAGAGTGAAAAAGACCAAAAGAGACAGAAAACAGTTTGGAAATGATCACAATGAAGTTTAACCTGAGTCCAAGAGAAGAGTTGCTGAGAGGTTAAAGTGGAGGGCACAGAGCAGAGCAGTCGTTAGTCGTCATAGAAACGGCCCACCTGCGTCAGATACACACGCAGGCTCTCTGCCAAAGACTTACTCAACAGCCAAAAGTTCCCCTCACATTCTGACCTCCTGAGCAAAAACTATAAGAGCCACGCCAATTCTGAGGCATGGTGAGCGCCTGGAGAGATTCAGGATCGCAACGGTGTTTTTCTTTTTTAAATTGAGCCAGAAATGGCCCAACGGGAGCGATTTCAAAATAGGAGACCTTTCAGAGCTGAACAAGTTTTCAGTGGGATTTTTGAATGGATTTTCAACGTAATCTTGGTGGTAGAGCTCTGACTCTGAGGCTCATAGCTCAAAAGCTAAAAGGTTAAAGGCTTTGAAAGTTACATTGGCTGAAAGAGGACAAATCTTCCTACGTTTTTAGGTATAATTTGTGTATGAAGGTTGAAGCATGTGGAAGTAATCTGAAGGAGTTTGAAGAAGTGGAAGTGGCTGAAAAGCTTGAGTGTGTCACATGACCCCTTTGTTGATCTCCCACTCTAACTTGACACCCTAGGAATGCATAGTAAAAGTGAGGAGAAGCTGAAATTTCAATGATTT